CTGTGGTATCATTTTAATGGGCAAGTCTCTTACTGTTAAATCTGAGTGCCCTGAACCTTTTTTTTTTCCTCATAAGAAAAAGATAGCAAAAAACACAAAACTCCAGAATAAAAAAATTAACTAATTTAAAAAGTTAGAAGACGAATTTGTAAAACTGGACAAGTGAAACTACGAACAAAAAAAGGAACAAAAAATCCTAAAAAAAAACCAGAATAACTATGAGAACTGAAAAATTGAAATAATATTGAAAATTTATAACTTCCATTTAAAACTAGTCTTGTTGTATGCAGATTCGTGAGACACCCTCGAGGATATTCCTGATCAATTGCTTATCCGCCGTCCGACAACCTTTGCTGGGGCATGATGTGGCATCTGACTATGCCAAGAAGCTCGGGACAATGATCGAAGCCAACGTACGTGGTCTCGTTGAGAAAGAAGCCGACATGATCCTACGGAAATGTGGGCTCTCAAACAAAATGGCCCACTTCTACGAGTCGTTGAAATCCACCTCTACCCAGCCACTGGCGGAGATTGACGACATGTCGCCACCTGCTCTCTCCGAGTGCCTCAAAGCTTTCTTCAGCCTCATTTTGGGGAGTGAGAATTCACTTCCCGAGTTTGAGCAGATGCAGGTGCCGAGCCTCCGGTCGGAGGCCTGCGTCAAGCTGGCTAGGTCCCTTGCAGATGTGTATGAAGTCATTTATAAGGGGATTATGGATCCGGGTAACGGGTACCCGGACCCGAGGTCGTTGGCAAGACATCCTCCTGATCAGATTAGGACCATTTTGGGGATTTGAGAACTACCCAGCCATTCTTTTTTTTTTTTTTTCCCTTTTTCTTCTGATATCCATTTCTTTTGTCTTTTCTACTATACGTTCCTCACTTTCGAGATTTGTATAATGAGATTTTGTATTTTCCCCTTGTTTTAATCATAATTTGAATGGATCAGCGTTTGAACTTTGAACCCAGAATAATTTACAAGTCCTAAAATGCCCACTTTATTATTATATCATTTTACTTGGTATTTATAGAAAATGAAAATGTCCTGATAAATAAAATTTGTGCTATATTTTTATTGATGAAGGTGGATTGTATAACATGTCAAATAGCTTTTGAAGAAGGATTGTATAACATACTAACAGCACGAATGAACAAAGTGAAAACCCTTTTGTCTCAGATGAAGAAAAACAAGTTTACTGATAAATAGAGGATACTGATATAGTTTTTCGAAGGCTTCATTGTCGTCCGATAGTGTAGTGTTTGATCCAATCAAGGATATGAAAAATCTAACATTTGTGTTAGGAATGCTTTTTAGTGATTATGCACTGTTTAGATCAACAGTGAAACATTTATTTTAACAATAATGACAAGAATAAGGTTCGAGCTAGATGCAAACGTAAAAGCTGACCATGGTTGGTGTATGCTTCGATGGGAAAAAAAATGACAATGTAGTTTGAGTAAAACCTTAAAAAGCAAACATGTGTGTCCTAGAGTTCCTAAGTTTGTCTCATGCCAATGCCAAATATGTTGCTGATATGTATGATGATGAAATTTGGAATGATCGTTGGCGGTCAATAGAGAGCATGCACTTAGCACTTCCAAAAAAAGTCGAAAACTGAGATTTTATGTTATGTACTTGTACAAAAATTTCAAGTTGAGTTATAAGGGAGCGGGATTAATTTGTGAAGGGCAGCTAGAGCAACCAGGGTAGTGTGCTTTGAGGAAGTTATGAAATAAATCAAAGAAAAAGATGTGGCAAAAACCAATTCTGAGTATCTCACTGCCCCAACTGTCAATAAGTTGTCTGGAAGACCTAGAAAGTATGCAAGACGAAAGGCCGAAGATGCAGACAAGTCTCAAAAATAACAGTCAGGATACCAAAAAGGTGCCAAGATGAGACTAAGTGGTGTAAAAATGACTTGTAGTGACTAACTGTGAAAATCGCAACATCAGACGATGCCTTTTGTTGAAGAAGACTAGAAATTAGACATCCCAACTCCATGTGCTCAATGTGACAATGACAAAATTCCTTCACAATCTAACGTACATTATGTCATCACACACGTGTTATTACGTATAAGTAATTCCAGGTTATTTTTCTGACTATTTGTGCATTTATGCCTCATGTACCAAGGAAGTAAAAGGCAACTCAAAGAGTGCACCTGTCAACCAAGAGCAAATGGGACTAAGGAGAAGCCCAAAAGTCAAAGTAATTGCTGATAACAAGGAGCAAACTAGCAAGACTTCAAGGTCACAGGTACTAATATGAAGTGCTGCATTTAATTAATGTAAGATTTTTTTCTTGCTAATGAATTTCAATCGATGTTTTGAAGGCATATAGGAGAGTATTTGAGTCAGGTGGTGAACATGGACCAAGTGATGTGGATATGGCCATAAAGGGCAGAGGCAACTCCGAGAGTGTACCTTCTAGTCAAGAACATCATATACTAA